TACCTTCAAGCCTTTAAGACCCCAGACGCTATACTTTTTGATAGCCGGGCACCATCAGCTTTCTTCACCACATTTGCTTATGCACCCATTTGCCCTTTGACATTTTCTATTCAGGACTTGTACTTCATTAGTTCTTTCATTGACTGTAGCTAATCTATATTCAAGAGCAAGTTCAGAGTTTCTTCTGACATCCACTTGGATCTTTTCCTTGTGTTTTTAATGACCTTTTGCTTTCCTCATGTATGCTGTTCTTGATGTCATCCCACAGCTCAAAAGGTCTTCCATCATTAGAGTACAATGAGTCAAAGTTATTCTTGATACAGTCTCAAAATTCAGGTGGGATATGCTCAATGGGTGTATTTTGATTCTCAGAGGTTTAATTTTCTTCAACCTCAACCTCAACTTACATAAGAGCAATTGATGGTCTGTTCCACAGGCAGTTACTGGCCTCATTTTAGTTGCTAATATCCCACAGATGTAGTTAATTTGATTCCTGTGTATTCTGTCTGGTGAGGTCCACATGTACAGTCATTGCTTTTGTTGTGGGAAAAGGATATTTGCAATGAAGGCATTATTGGTCTTGCAAAACTCTATCATGAGATCTCCAGCTTCCTTTTTATCACCAAGGCCATCTTTTCCAACCACTGTCCCTTCTTCTATATTTTCAAGTTTCACATTCCAAACACTTATAATTATCAATCATTTTGATTGCACATTTGATCAATTTCCGACTAAGAAGTCGGGAGAATTCTTCGATTTTTCCTCACTAGCTTTAGTGGTAACCAAGCTATCAGTCAATTCTAACTCATAGTGACCCTAGAGCAGGGGTCCTCAAACTTTTTAAACAGGGGGCCAGTTCACAGTCCCTCAGACTGTTGGAGGGCCGGACTACAGTTTTAAAAAAAATTATGACCAAAGTCCTATGCATACTGGACAAGTCAGCTGCTAAGCAGGACAGGCAGCAGCGGCAAAAATACCCGGCGGGCCGGATAAATGTCCTCGGTTGGGTCGCATGTGGCCCATGGGCCGCAGTTTAAAGACTCCTGCCCTAGAGGATAGAGTAGAACTGTTCCTGTGGTTTCTGAGACTGGAACTCTTTATGGGAATAGAAGACCCTATCTTTCAGACCTGGGGGTGCAGTGATTACATGGTGGGCTGCTAACTACAAGGTCAGCAGTTCAAAGCCACCAGCCTCTCCCCAGAAGAACGGTGGGGCTTTATACTCGCATAAAGAGTTACAGTCTCGGAAACCCACAGAGGTGGTTCTACTCTGTCCTCCAGGGTCACTATGAGTTGGAATCAACTCAATGGTATTGAGTTTGGCTTTTGGAGCTTGAAAGGTAGGTACAAAGATTTGAACAATAATTGTATTAATTGGATTTCTTTGTGGGTTTATAGATATTATTCTATCATAGAAAATATTGTTCTTCAAGACAAATCTTGAGATGTGATTTTTGACAATAAATGTGACATCATTCCTCTTGAATTATCTTTGTCAAAAAGGCCAATACTAGTCCATCATTACTT